TTGACGTCATAGATTTGCTGAACAAATAAATTTCAATTCGATGATGCAGCGCAAAAAGCTTTACAAAGCGTCTCGCGTTTCAGTACCGCATCGCTGCAAAGCATCCGTTTATTTCGACGTCGTCCTGCATTCCGAATTGAATTTTTGCGGATTCGTCCGCGGGTCGCGCATAACTCGATTGCGAAAAAGCAACATGACATAGCGGAAGCCTTGCCGGGCGATTGTAGCAAAGCAATTTTCGACTTTTTATCGACTTGTTTGTCATGGCACATGGCACACGTTGCTCTTAAATTTTTTCCTCCTCGTTTGTGGTTAAGACCGGAAGGCTATTTGTGGAGCGTAGGCAACACATCATTCCTCTGCGTGAGAGCTGGGTCACAGTGTAAAGGACGAAAGGATATCACAACAAACGCTCGCGCTGTGTGCAACGACAACAAATACTAGTACTACTTTACCAGTAGTCGGAAGATTTGATAAGACTCGAGACACGTTTGAACTGTTTGTGCAAAACATCAACAAAATCTGACACAGATTCGCAAAGCTCGGCAGTCAGTAAGTCACTCAGTCATTGGATCAGTGTAGCAACACGTCTGCTTTCGCATCGCTGCTCCTAAGTTTAAAAAGAAGAAGGAAAAAGTGTGGAAATCTTTCTACGTGATGTTAATCCTTATTCTTTTCGATAAACAACATTTCCGTAGTCGTAGTCGTACTCGTAGTCGATATATTTACCGATTTGTGTGTTGGACATCCAAACTGCTGCTCTCTCTACATTGGTATTTACTGTTCAAGTTGCAGTGGCAGCTTCGAGAGCTTAAAGTCCACCCTTCTCGGTCTTGCGGAGTAGTTTTAGTTTTGTGTACAGTGTAGAGTGTACACTGTATCCGCGCAGAAGTTACAAGCGGACGGGAACGCACTTCGTAATGTTTATTTCAACGCTAACGTTCGAGCGCTCTAACGATGAAACAAGCTGGATGAGATTGAGTTGAGTAAAGCTCGCGGAAGAGTTTCCAGCTTCACACCGAAACTAGACTAATTTAGAATGACCTTGAAAGTGGTGTTTTTTAGGTTAAAAACTGTTTCTAAAACTTAAAAATCATATTAATTGGTGTAACAAGGCATAAAACGGGTTTATTTTAATACTTACATGAATATATTTTGTTTTAATTTAATTTTAACTGAATAAATCTTCTATTTTGAGAAATTTTCAAGAAATAAAACATTTTAAATATTACCAACCTTTCTTGAGTTAAAAATAAAGTAACTATAAAAGTAACTAATAAATTTCAAGTTGGTACCCGTTGTAACCAAAAAGTGTAAGATATGCAACCCAAAAAACACTTGAAAGTATGCAAATGAACAAAAGCAGCAAATATACAGACATAAAACGCAGCAGTAAACAAAATTCACGTTCCAGTTTCAGCTTTATGAAAGTAATTTGTAACCTGCTTGTGCATGCGCCGGAAAATACGTACTCTTCGCAAGTCATAGCAGTGCACGTGAAATTTATTACTGCCCAAGGAAAAGCAATAATCGCGCGATTCTAAAGTTGTTGTAAATTGCAAAACGAAGCAAACGAAGTGAAAATACACAAAGTAAGAGAAAATCGAGAAGAAAGCATTGAAATTAAGTGGTACGCAGAGGTCACAGCATGACGACGGCGTAATTTATTACAACCCTCACGAATATTTTGCAAATGTGCCAATGAACCGACCGCGCGCGCAATGGGAGACGTGTAATTTAATGCACGTGGCAAAAAAGTCAAAGGTGGAGCCACACGCGGTGAGTATGTCAAAGTTTTAATGGGGTAGCAATATATTTATGTTAATTAACGTTGAATTTAATTAATATGAAATTGAAAATGAAAGAAATATAAATTCATATTTCTTTGAAATGTATGACATAATATTTTGTGTGATTGCAGTGTAAACATGTTTACGCGTTCAATTTTCGCATTTTTTCATTGTTTGCGCGTCCAGATGAAGCCACGTGTAAACTATTAAAACACGTTCTTGTAAAGCGATGAAAAAAATGGCTGCAGGCTTGGCTTATAACTGGTAAACAAATAAAACTTAAGAATCTGTCTGTTGGTAGCGCGTATTTTACATTTTTCAACACGTTTCTGTGTTTTTTGTCTTCCTGGGGCGTTTCCAACGCTTATCGTCTGTAAAATGCCATCCTTCCTGCGTTCCAGGATTCAGGCAGGCATTTCGAGCAGTTTTTATTGCCTTGTTTATACACGTTGTGTTTTATCTTATCTTTTGGGATCTGTTTTCTCAAGACGAAGCGAAAGTCACGCGATTCTCCGAATGACAGAATTTTTTTTCGGCGTTTATTTTGAAAACTTGTTGCTGCTTGCCAAAAATAAACAAAAAACATTCGGAAAATGATAAGAAAATAAGTGAAAAACGTACTTTTCATAAGAAATTGTTAATGTTTTCCCTTTTTTAACTGAAAGAAGCGAAATTTAAATAAAGTCGAAGAATTTCCAAGCAATTTGTGTTTCAATTAATTTTTTTTCAAAAGAAATTTATTTTTTGTGCGTAATTCTTTGAGTTAAACGTATTGCTAATTTCTTTGCGTATTTTTTTTGTTGTTGCTGGTTGCGCGCGGAAAGTTCTGTTCAATTAATTCGGTTGTGTAGATCTTTTTTCAGTCGTTAAACTTGTCAAACTTGATGCGAAATTAAGCGAACTTTATTTTACGATCCGCGCTCGACTGCAACCGCGAAAGAGTTGGGATAAAAATTAAATCGAACGGGAATAAAACTTTAATTCTGCGTTTCGAGGGAGAATCTGCTTTATATTTAACCTACTTTTAGGTTTTATGAAGAGATTTCTTGGAAATTCACTTTAAAATTAGACTAATTAAAATTTTGCAATAAAAATACTTTTATTTCACTTGTAATTAAGTTAAAAAAGTTTATTATTTTAATATTTTTATATAAAATGTACTAGACAACTGATTTTATACATGTAAATGTCAGTTTGTATGTTTGTTCTGCTTTCAAGTGAAAACCACTCATGTGATTTTTATAAATTTTGGTATAAAAATAATTTTGACAATGGAAAATAAAATAGACTACTTTTTGTTGTAAAAATTTAACTAGGCGTAAAATATGGAATAAAAGTTTATATCGAGATTAAATCGTAGTTATAGTTATATAACTCAACCCTAGATGGCGCTAAACTACATTATTAGCTTTTCTCTTTCATTTAAAATAAAATTCATAATCTTTTCATCGTATTCAGCTCATAATACGTCTCAGAAACAAGAAAATAATTACTTTTATTAAATTCTACGATGAAATCGCAGACAAAACTAATAAAATCTAATATTTCAAAAATCCTTGAATAAAATAAATATATCTTCTTGCAAGTATGAAAGCAGATCAGCGAAAGAAATCACAGGCAATGATTTCGGCGTCCGTGCATAATAAAACAATAAAAACGGTGGACGTGCGCCATTATTGCTAATAAGATGTCAGGCGAAACGCCGGCGCAAAGAGGACTAAAATTGGCGAGCAGTTTCCGCTTGCAATGCATGAAAAGCAAGCACAAGAAGAAAAAAAAAACGTGGAAAAACAAGTCGATGTGAAACCGAGCCGATAGAAATAAGATAATCGCATAAAACAGAGAAAACCGAAGCAACAAAAAAATACATAAAAAGAATTGACTGAAAAACGAAAATTCCGATGCTTGCAATAACAATATTCGTGGAATTCTTTAAAATAACAAGGCGACGATGTTGCCAATGCAATAAAATGTATGAAATATTAGCAGAAACCATCGAAAACTTTTATTGTTTTCATCAATTGGCTATTTATAAAGTAGTTTTCAAGTTAGTCATCACGGAAAAAATAAAATAAGAAGAATTATGATAATTTAATGCAGTTAAAACCATAAATATTCAGATTTTTTGTTTCATTTTCATTTTTTATAAGAAAACTTAAGGAAACGTGAAAGTTTAACGAAATAAATTGAGTGTGATAAACGCGATAAGAATTTTAAGCGGAAAACTTTTATTTTTGCATTTTTCAAAGTTTTTGGCTATCGATACACAAGAATCACTTGAAACTGTCGAAGGGAGTCATAAAAAAGCATAAAAAATGGAAAAAGTTAAAGTGCTAGTTGAAAACTAAAAAAATCCAAACATTTTTTGCCATTTTCAGAGCGGTTGACCGCGTTTGACGATTTTGATTCACGATTTCCGCATGCATAGCGTGTTTACCCATCGAGATCGAAACATTGCAATCAATTTCACGGCTCGACAAATCCTTTAAATAAATTTAAATAAATTGCAATTTTCAAATGGTTAATTTCAACCGAAACAAATTCATTTCTAAGTAATTTGCACACAAAATAAAAGAAAAGTCAAGCAATATTCATTTATAGACGCATATCTCTCGAATAAATAATCAAAACTGCATACGTGCTGACGTGCTGTATATACAGGATGTTTTAAATTTCGAAATAAACGAAATTTTATGAGCATTTAAACGGATTATGACTTGCGTCGTGTGAATAATGCTGGGCTGATTTTAGCGCAGAGTGCAACATGGGAATGTGAATGCGCTAAATATTTACAGCCGTAAATTAAATTTATGTGCACTTTTTCAACTCAACTGAGGCCGTATCTTCCACGAGCCGGGCATTAACTCGATGCCGTTGGAACACACTCTGCACTTCCGTTTTATTTTAAAGCTTTCCGAAATAAATTAAGTGCTAATTTGGTTTTCCAACGCAAATTACCAACTTTTAAGATTAAATTTTCAACTGGCTAAGCATCTGCAGTATATATAGATGTTAGGCAACCAAGTATACACAAAATTTATTACTTTGTGTTACTTTATTACTAAATGCACGTTTTAAGTTTTAAGTTTTAAGTTTTGATGTGAATAGATTATACACCTGTTCAGATTGTTATCATTGGATGAGTGCCAGAGTGTGCTTATGAGAGTTTGGAAGTTATGAAGTTGTTTAATGTTCATCATCGTGACTTACCTTGAATGCCTGTCGAAATTTGTTCGACATAATGTGATAGAGAATTGGGTTGACCATGGTTGAAAGGAAGTAGAGCACGCCGGAAATGTACATCAGAGCGATGTAGATCTCAATGCACATCTTCTGCGCTTCCGGGGACGCGGCGCTCAAGTACACCGCCAGTAGACGTTGGGCGTGGAATGGAGCCCAGCAGATGAAGAAAGCCACCACTACAGCAACTATAAATAGAACATTTATTAAAATTTATAATATAAAAATCTGTTGGTAAGCGCATAACTCAACAACGCTTCGACCAATTTGGCCAATTCTTTTTTTAAAATGTTCGTTAAAGTCCAAGGATGGTTTTTACAGCGAGAAAAATTTAAATAATTGCCGGGAAAACACTAAAGACAGCCATTTTCTATAGGATAAAAGTTGGCATTGAGATACAATCATAGGTATAATTAAATAGTTGAATCCGAGATGGCGCGCTGAAGTGCATTATTAGCAATTCTTTATATAATTAATTTCTTTAAAATAAAATTGCGAATCTTATTGATAGAATTGACACATACTACGAGTATGTCTAGAACAAGAGAGTAAAAACGAATTACATTTTTATTAAACACTAGTTTAATATAAAATTATTTTCTTTTAATGAGTATAAAGATATATCTAGTAGAATATTAACTGATACTGATTGTTATTTATTGTTTATTATCTCTTTGCTTAGTTTCATTTAGCTTCATTGCGTTTGGAATTATTTGGAATTATTATATTTCAGTTGACTGAATTGAGTTCGACGCGCTTTGTTATTGGAAAAGTTTAATTTGATTTGCGCGCCTCGTCGATTTCGCTAGATTGCCACGCGCTTTTTCATCCGCTATTACTTTTTGTTACTTCAGACGACGCGAATTATCCGCCAACACGATGCCCTACATAAATACCGTTTGTTTTTGACGCCTACACGCCGCAAACTGCTTTCGAAGAGTTAATTTAATCAAAGAAAAGAAAAATGTTGAAATCAATTTGTATAGTGTATGCAACCCAGAAAGCAGGAAACATTTAACCTATACACAACCACAACCACAAAATCAATTATTTAATTGTAAGCAAGCAATTTAAATATGTAAATTAATTTAAATTGGTTTTAACTTAAAGCTAACATAAAACTTACTTGGTTTTACTCTGTTAGTAAAAAATGAACTGCTGAACTGCTTTTTATTATCCCTGATTTGTTGGGATTGTTATTATCCCAATCATTTGACAGCTTATCCCCACTAATATTATAAATGCAAAAGTCCTGATGTTTGTTACACTTTCACGCAAAAACTACTTAACCGATCATCATGAAAATTTGTACACATATTCTTAGTGGTCCCCGAATGGTTATAGGCTACTTTTTATTTAATAAAAAAAATTATTTTTTAAAATAAAATAAAGAAATTGTTTAGCCAATAATACCCCTGCATCTGGCTATTTGACTACTTTAACGCCATCTAGCATTCCAGCAATAAAGCTCAAACCTAAGTACTATAGTACCATCACACTGTAGTATCACACTGTATTACCGACAGCTATGTCAACATCAAATCCAATTGACTACACTATGGAGACTGTACACTATACTTCCATATACTATACTTTCAGCCATTTTAAACTTCCCGCCATTCTACTTCATTGTTACTTCTTCTGTGACTACAGACGCGTACGGAAGCAACTTCATTATTTTAGATATTCGCGAGCGAAGCCAAGGGTTAAAGCTAGTTCATAATATAGGCAACCAATATAACACAAATCGTTTTGATTTATTTCAATAAAGCAAATAATTTGCATCTTCTTGAATTACATGAATTTCTATACTACTGAAACACATTTTATGCTAAACATTACTTTTATCTTATCAACAACTGCATAATCCGCATAAATTCAATTAAAAATTAATTTAATTACTCAAATAAACCGTAATAACATAAAATTTAACTTATAAAATTAAAGTTTTAATAAAAGTTATTGAAGTAATGTTTAAACACATTGTGTTACTAGTTTGTCCACTGGTCACGATTCGTAAATCTAATTTCCATGCCAAAACGAACGCGAATTGTGCACTTTGCGGAATGATTTACGACGAACGTGCGGTAGCAACAGGAAGATGAATAATTATGAAGTCAGTGATTATTAATGCACATTTGATTATATCCTCTTCAAATCTGCACGGCGCGCAGTATTATTAAGTGTTGGTGGTTGTTATCGATTCGTGATAACCTATTGATAAATGACAATACAGTTGACTATCAATTGTTACTACACAACATCACATCAAAAATAAAAACAGGAGTATAATAGGAGCAAATATTGATTATAATTATTTATCATGATTAAAATAATTATTTGTGTTGGGGCTTTCGGATGGCATTCAATTAGTAAAATGTAAAATTAACTGCAATTGCGCTGGGCATATTGGAGTGCGCTAGATAATTAGCCAGGGCTTTTAATTCTTGATTCTCTGATCGCTAATTGGCTCAAAACATTCTGTTCGCAAAAAAATTAAAAAATTAATTTTAAGATTAATTAACTTATAATTTATTTCTTAAATTAATTAAAAAACATCAAAAAACTTAATTTTTACAAAATTAATATTTTTGTTAATAAAACACCCTGTATAAAAATGCATTTATGGTTGCCTATAATAGAATGTCGAACATTTCGTTCGTCGGCTATCGGCGGCGAACATCTGGCCGAGTCATCTCATTATCCAGCCGCGCCGAGCGACATAACCTAACTTAACACAACTTAACCTAACTTTCGGTAATCTAATTCCCTCTAATTTGCGACTCAAACACATCATCCTTATACTTGCGTGTGGAATGTCACTGAAAGACAGAAGCAAGTACAAGGACAATAAGCTAGGTATTTGCTATATTGAGGATAATAAGCGAGTTTAACCCCCAAAGGCATTGCTCTATATTTAAGCCGAGAGAGAGATATTAAAAGGAATGATAACCCTGGATATTGAGAAATGCAAAAAAGTGGAATGATGATGAAAAAAAGGATAATCTGATCGGATGAGATGTGAAAGTGGAAATGAGGAAATGCGGAAATGAAATGATCAAAGTCTCTTCCTGGCGTGGAAGTGGAGTGGCTAGGAATGGATTTCAATTGAAACAATTCAATTCATTTTCTTACTTTGCGTTGAATTAAAATTTTTCTTCCTTTTTTGGTTTCTTTACGTGTTAATTATATTAATATAACATAGACTAGGTTATGTCAACTCGTAAACATAACCTATTTTAATTTCTACTTAATATTTTTTCTTTTTTTTGATTTTCTGCTTTTTAAGGGTCTTAAGACTTAGAATATAAAGCAATTGTGTTCTGGTTGTGATAAATTCTCTTAATGCGAAGTTTGTGTTAATGATTCGGTTGGTTATCGCCGGATCGCGTGGGTTCTTAATGGCGGCAAGAGCGTCTGCGGATAATGTAGCTGTTTTAATCATAATGTTCTGAGTTTCAGACAGATGCTCAAAACGTTTCTTAAATTACCATTGGCATTGGCGTTATTTTCTCTGAACATTTCTCTAAAAATATTTTGATGTTATTTGGGTTGCATACATTTTCACTGTCAAAATCAATGTATTTTAATATTTAACGGGTATTTAACGTTCAATATTTGATATATGATATTACTGAGCATATTTTAATATCTATCATCATAAAATAAATGTATTCACCCTTGAAACATTCCCGAAAAATAAAAAAGATGAAATATTCAATAAAAATGTATGCCCCACATGCCCAAAACATGTTTTTACTCTTTTCCCAGTTTACCCTCGGTGTGCTTGACTTGTTTTCGTGCGTTTCTTGCTTTTTGAGGCTGGGAATTTGACGCGACACGCATCACAAACCGCCCAGCATCAATGTTTAACTACGCAGAAGTGTAGAAACACTAGAAATGTACTCTACTTTACCACAACCACCACCAAAACCATCAAAAAACATTACATTCCTGAAGAACAAAGATAACCAAAGATAAGATAAGATAAAAGTGGTTTAGGATTAGGATTGTATAATTTTACAACATTATTTTCTTCACAAACGTAATTTTCCACCAAAAACCACCAAAAACCCGAAAATAAATTAGATTTAAACCGAAAATGTCAGCCGTTTAAATTATGCATGTACTATTAACTTTCTACGCATGATATAATCTCATGACCTTGTTAGTGAAGAAAAGTGTCGCGTGGATGAAAGTATCTCCTCGTCGAATGTTATCAACGCGCGGCACGTCCGCTTCCAATAGCCTTAAATGTCGAACGCGACGACCGGTCGTATATTAGCCGGGGTGGAGCGGAGGAAAAATCAAGTAAATTTCCAAAGGGAGAGGAACTATGCCAACTAACCACCACCACTACTACTACCACGGTGTTTTATTCATGAATCCAGCGAGATGCTCACAAAATGTGATATACTAGAAATGCAAAAAAGCGAAACTTGAAACAAGGGAACGTGAAATAGCCAGGAGGAAATTCCACGCGCAGGTATAACAACCCCATGGAGACTGGGAGATAACAAAATTCAAACTGGAACTGAAACTGAAACTGAAACTAACCTAGACAAAAGAACAATGGAATTGAAAACAATGTTAACAATGCATCAAAACTAAGAATAACTAGATTGGGGTTAACTTAACCTCAAAAAGATTTTTTAGGTTAAGTTGTGATTTGTATTTAATGTGAACATCAACAAAAAAACAATGGAGGAGTAAATAAGGTAAATTGTCCATGAAAATGGTTAATATTTGATTTTAAGCAAATTTAACCTCAACTTTTTTAGGTTATGTATTATGTATTGACTAATATTTGATGAAAACATTGAAACAAAGACAATAGGAGTATAAACAATGTTTGCAAATTCCTAAAAACTAAAAATAATTATTTTAAAGCAAATCTAACCTTAAAATATTTTTTTGGTTATGTATTTAATAATATTTGATAAAACCTAAGAATCAAAACAATAGAATTCTAAAAAACATAAAAACACAAGAAAACTCTGAGAAAGTATTTGAAGGTCAATATAACCTTCAAAAAACATTTTCTAGGTTATGTATCAAATAATATTTGATGTAAACTTCAACATAAGAACAATAGAATTGTAAACAATGTAAAAAACACACGAAAAACTAAAAATAAGTATAAAAAATAATTACCTAACCTTAAAATACATTTTTCTTGAAGGTTATG